CCATGTAGAGAGCATTGCAGTAGTCCAGGCGGGAAGTCACAAGGGCATGAGTGACCGTGCGTAAGGCGTCCCGGTCCAGAAACGGCCGCAACTGGCGGATCAGGCGAACCTGATAAAACGCTCCCCTGGTCACGGCCGACAACTGGTCATCCAATGTCAACCGTGAATCCAGGAGAACACCCAAGTTGCGGACCCGATCATTATAATCAATAATGCATGTAACACTCTAGGGACAAACAAACTCCTTGCAAAATGGCCTGCCTTTCCATAATCTTCTGGCATGCAAACACTGTAGTGATAGTATTGTTTGGTTACTATGGTTGGAATTCCAGCTTTCAAACTAGAAAGTAAATTGTCTGCATTCCTTCAAGGTGACATTCTAGAAGAGAAAATGCTATCAAAATAATTCTGGATGCACATATATTGTGGTCCTACAATTATTTTTTAATTCTGGAATCAATTATTTTTGCTCCACGTGAAGTTACATTTGGAACAATCTATAAAAAGGTGTAGTCTTTGTAACATCACAAAGCATGATTGCTGTATCTTATTTATTTATTTTATTTATATGATAGACATAAATCTTTGGTAGTGCTTTCCATACTCATATTTGTACATGCTTTTGCTTTTGAGGTCTGCAACAATAAAAAAAATTGCCACTGTGAGGCTCATTGGGGTCCTCCCTTTTGTGATAAGGCAGGATTTGGTGGCAGTATTGACAGTGGGCCAGTTCGACAATCTGGTGAGTAAACAGACAAAAGTAAAGAGAACATAAATGAAGGAATTGGCTTTGGACATCAGATTATCTAGGGATCCAGTTTTTATATCTCAATATCCACTTCTAGCTGCCATTGTGAATATAAATAAATTGAATTATGTGTAGGGCGGTGCCTTGTTTCACTTTAAATGCAAAAGTAGTTACAGCTGGGATTCACTGATTGTGCTTCAGCCCATTTATGGTAACAAAATATTGTTCATTCTTCTCCATAGACCTTCCCAAAATAAATTCTTCTTATTTCATTGTTTTGTGCTGGCACATCTTCATATCTTTCACCTTTGTCCTGTTGGCTCTTTTATGTATTAACTTTGGGTCTTTTAGATGACAGCAGCTTAATATGAGTGACAGATTGGTATAAGCAATGAAATACAATGAGAGGAAACTTAATATCACAAATGAACTCTTGGAAGGACTGTGTTTTCTATACTATATCTCTACCTATTCCTTCATCTGATTGAATGCTGTACTTTTTAAGCCCCATTGTCCTGAAAGATCAGGATTATAGTCACTGTCCCATACCGCCAAAGCAATGCTAGAGTTGAGTACTCATATAATAAATAACGTTAGAGGTTGAAACATTCCAGATGTGCTTCCAAGAATTCCTGAGAATGGTTTTATATTTATACAGTACTTATAACAGAATGTTAATTTATTTATAGGAAACATGCAAATAAGTTGCAATTGCATTTATAGGAAATATATAGGCAAAAGCCTAGGACAGGGCTTTTCAACCTTTTCACCCATTGTACCACTTTTAGGATATGGCAATATCCGAGTACCACCAGTTACCTAGCAAGGTGTCAAAAATGTGATGACCAAAAAAAAAGTGATAAAGTACAGGTAGTCCTTGATTTACAACAGTTCGCTTAGTGACTGTTCGAAGTTCAGCTCATTCCCCTCCCCCGCTACCACTTTTCTAGGATGGTCGCGTACCACTTGCCAGGTGCCAATGTACCACAGGTGGTACCCGTACCACTGGTTGAAAAGCCCTGGCCTAGGATATAGCTGTCACAACGAAGTCAACCTATTCTCTAAGCATCTGAAGGCAGGACAAGAAGCAAAGAATGGAAACTAATCAAGGAGAAACCCAGCCTACAAATTATCATGAAGTATCATGAAGGGAGTTTGGGGTCATCATGCATGTGTGCCTGCAGAAAAAGTATCTCCAATTAGCAAGGTGTTTTGGACAAGAACAGAGAGAATGAAAGGGAAAGAGAGAATGCAAAGGAAAACCTTAACTCTATATTTACACACTACTGCTGCTTCGTAGTGAGGAGGTCATGGGGTGGGTGCTTCAGAACCAGCACTATTAGATTTCCACCTCAAACAAATAATTTCGCTGTATTTGAATTCTGCAAAGCAAACTTCATGGGTGTTTTTGTTAGTGCTACCCCCTACAAAGTTTGGGAATTTCCAAGAAGCAAAAGTAATTTTCTCCCATTTATATTAATTGTAAATATCAATATTTCATTCCTAGTAGGCTCTGAAAATTGTTAATATTGAGTTGTTCTTGCAGAATAATGAAATTAACTTTTTGCTAAAGGAAATAGCAAACATCCTTCCATCAAGGTAAAGTAGCATATTTTGCAGAGATGTTCAGGGAGAGTAGGATGCATACCCAGCTGTGAGTTGTACAACTGGCTATTTAATCCTCATGCTATCCTTTGCAATCCAAGCTTAAGCTTTATCTAACTGTTTCTTATGCCCATTGTGAAAAAAGGCAAGTGTAACATTAAGTTTCTCAAATGGGTCACCTAAACCTCATCCACATATAGCATACTTTGCTATCCTAGACAACAGCCCTAATCTTAAACTGTCTTGGCTTAGTAAATCACATACAGTATTTGTCAACTGTGCCTTCATCTGTGCCAATATAGTTTATTCAGTAAAGTTTATACTCTTGGTAAAATAATGTCCCAGGACAATCTGCTTATGTCTTTGCATTCTGCTTTTTCATTTGAAGCCTCTTTATCATAACAAATAAACTTAATAAACTCCATGGATATGATCACATTAATGCTAAGCATATTCTGCTCAATCTCTTTCCCAGTAATTTAAATAGGATTTTGGTACATTATATTGATCTTTTCCCCATTGGTTTCAATTTATCCTGGAGGTCAAGGAAAAACACAATCTGTCCTGTCACACATGCCAACAAAGAAATGGGTGCAGGATGGGAAGAGAATAAGAAATGGCATCAGAAATTTAGGTATGTCTGATCTCTTCCATTTTTCCTGTCCTGTCATCAGATAGAAGAGTAGTAGCATCTGCTGTTTGCCAGAAATGTAAGTCTCAGCCTTCAACAGAAGGGCACAGAAACATTCAAGGGTTATTTATCCTTAAGTGAGTTTAGTTTTGCTTGGAAGGAGAGATCACAGGAAAGATACTATAGTATCTTAGTTTATGCCTGTGGTGGTGCACTGGTTAGAATGCAGTATTGTAGGCTAACTCTGCCCACAGCCAGGAGTTCAGTGTTGACTCAGCCTTCCATCCTTCTAAGGGCAGTAAAATGAGGACCCAGATTGTTGGGAGCAATATGCTGATATTGTAAACTGCCCAGAGAGTGCTGTAAATCACCAGGAAGCGGTATATAAGTCTAAGTCAGTGGTTCTCAACCTTTTTAATGCCGTGACCCCAACCGGTCATAAGTCGAGGACTAAACCGGTCGTAAGTCGAGGACTAAACCGGTCATAAGTCGAGGACTAAACCGGTCGTAAGTCGAGGACTACCCAACCGGTCATAAGTCGAGGACTTTCCCTGCCCGGGAGCGCCGCGCATGCGTGGTTCCGCCCCCTGTGCCGGCCGAGGCGTAGCTGGCAAGCGGCAGAGACGGAGCAGGCCGACCACCAGCTGGCCCAGCTCAAGGGAGGTAAGGCACCCGCCGGAAAAGGGAAAAAAAATGGCGGACAGCCTTGCTTGGCGACCCCCGTGAAATGGTCGATCGACCCCAAATGGGGTCGCGACCCATAGGTTGAGAACCACTGGTCTAAGTACTATTGCTACTTAAGTAAATGTAAATTAAAAATAAGTAGACACAAAATGTTTTTAGTTTTAAATAGTGGTAGGAATCCACTGTGCGGTGCAAAAGTTTTATTTATATAATAGCTGAAACTCTGCAGGCAGTTTACCATAAACACACTAAAAAGATAAAATGATACAATTGAGTATCCAATATATATCCAATAAAATAATAAAATAAAGATGCCATATAAACTAGGCAGAAGCAAGGTGGTTATCATATTTAAAACAATGTGAATTAAAATATGATTAAACTATGATTAAAAAGCTTAGAAAAATGAAAATGTTCTCCCCTGTGTCATGTGATCACCATTTGTATACTTCACAACTGGATTCTGACAGCAGAGTCAGTAGAAAGGCTGGCAGTAAAATTACAAGTTGCAATCATGTGATGTGTTGCTTAACTGACACATCATGAATAAAGCGATGGAGTTGCTAGTTCCAATTGTGGTAATTAAATGAGGACTTCCTTCCTTCCTTCCTTCCTTCCTTCCTTCCTTCCTTCCTTCCTTCCTTCCTTCCTCACACACCCAGAAACATGCACACAATCTCTTATCAGTAGCTATTTAATAGTTATATTATATGCACAAAAAGTGATAAAAGTACATCAGTTCTAGAAAGACAGGGCAATTTCTTGTCAAAAAGTGATGTGATCTTAATTTCCCCATATATTTTGCCCAACCTTGCTTAATTTTTCCCAAGTGGGGCTCTACAGATGTGCCAGACCTCTGCTTTTATAATCTCAACCTAGGGAAATCTAATGAATTCATTGCTACATTATTTGAGCCATACAAGATGAAAGCACGTAATGTCTGTAACCATGCCTTTTGTCTAATTTCAAAATCGGTCCTCAGTAGTACTTTGTTTGTGTGTGTATGTGCATGATTGTGGTTTTGGAATACTACTACCAAAATGCCTAAGTAAGTGGTCTTTGATTTAACCTTCTTTTTAAATAAGGATTATTGGTTTGTTTGTTTTAGATAACAGAAGCTTAATTGCAATACTTATAACCATCCTGTGCCTTCTGGCGGCCAGTTTACTTGTGTACTTCAAGAGGAAGATCTTGATTAGAGTATTCTTTATTAATAAGAAAACTACAATAGAGAAACTTAGGTATGGTATTTAACATTACTGTTTTTTGAAACTGCAATCTCATAAAAACTACCCATTACCTATTGCTGGCCAATCTCTTCCAGAATGATTATTATCTACAGTATATTTTTTCATTAGTATCATTTATTGCAATGAAACATCAGTTTATTCAGTCAGATGTAAGGTTCTGCCTGAATGTGTGAATGTATAATTTGTTCTATTTATATATGAAATTGAACAAGTGTAGTGTGTGTCAAAGGGCAAAGGGGGTGCTATTAGTTCAAAATAGAAACAACATGAGGAGTTATTAGAGGAATTAAAAACACTGAAGATCCCCCAGAGCAGGAATGCAGGCACAGTATAAAATCACATGTCGCAGTCAAAATTCTTAAGACACTTTAGATAAAAGTCTTTTTTTCTCTCTTCCCTTGCACTATTGCCTGGGAGGAGGAGAAGATGGAAAAAATGTGTCAGAAAGAGAAATAAAAGTTAGCCTCATCACTTTGCATTCTAGCTCCATCAACTATTTGCTTTAGCCCCACCATTCACTAGCATTTGACCCTTTAGTGCAGTATCTCTGCAGAATTGTGTCCTTCACCAGAATAAAAGCTGGTTTTTGCCAGCAATAAGGTATCGTGTCTCTCATGTTGGATTTCTTCTTTTAAGAAAATGTAAAGGCATCATCTGGGAAAAGTAATCCTAATGAGATTGAAGCTGGTATGGAGTAGGGAATTAACCTCTTCCTTCCTCGTCCAGGAAAATCCCTCTTAAGAAGGAATATTATTTTATTAATTTGATTGATATCCCACCTTTGTATTCTACCAAGGTGATCAGCAAGATACAAAATAAAGCATAACAATAAGCATAATTAAAGCATATAAATATTAAACTCAGTATTTGTATTTGTTAGGGAGTTCATATGCTTATTTTGCTGTATCTGAACCAGTTGAAAATCTATTACTGAGTGGGACTGGAGATGTTGTTTCTTTTAATACCTAAAATGGACAAGATATTGGAGGGATTATTTTCTCCTATTCATTCATCTCAAGTAATAAAACTTTCTTGTTCCACCAGTGATGAAAGAAATTACCTGAGCAAAGTGCTCAGTTGCTATTTCATGGAACAGAATACCAAGGCTTAAGACATTGAAAACCTTATATAATATTTGAAATAAAATTGTATTTAAACTTGTTTGCTTATCTTTGCTACCTTTCGGTTGATATCATTTTTACAATAGATAATTTCATTGTAGTTGTTTTGTATAATGTAGGCACATTAGAAAGAGGAGGTGAAATAATATATCTGTCATGAACATAAATTATTTGGGGGTTTTTCTGGCACTAAATCAAGATCACACTGCTTTCTGATGTTCTTGTTGTTTCTCATTTTGTTTTGTATTAAGCAATTAAAAAGTAAAAAGAGTTTGCCTTCATTTGCTCTGCTTGAAATATTGAAAGATTGGAAGTAGCCTTTTGTCTCTAGCCCACTGAATGAAGCACAATATCCATAGTGAAGGTCATTACTTCTTAAACACCAGCTTCATTAGAAGTATCTCTTGGGGGCTATAAAGCAGAATTTCTACAGATTGCCAGAGCTAATTTAACAGACTAGTGGTTCTAAACAACAAAAAATCAATATTTTTATTCTTGCAATAGTATTGGATGGATGTTACAGTCACTGTTACTAAAGAAAATAAAGATAAAGGAGCATTATATCAAACTATAACCCTGACGTATTTTCCAAGCATAGCTATTTTTTAATGAACGTGTTTGTGTTGCAGGTCTGTGAGTCAAACAAGGCCTTCCAGTTCATCTGAATCTAATCATGTTCATACTGCAACATTCCTCAGTAAAAAACTAGCCAAACAGCCACAAAATTTAACCACACCCAAGGTGGGTTTTATATAGTTGAAGTAAAAGTAAAGTCAAATATTCCCTTGAGTCAAGCTCAGCTTCAAGTGTCTATATGGACATATCTGTGTAGTTTTCTTGTTATCAATAATTTGCTACTGTATACTTCCAGGATATGAACAACTTTTGCATCAATGTCTAAGTATATTTAATTGGATACCATTAAAAATGATTTTAATGTTTTTCTCGGTAGTTATTATTTATAATATTTATATACTATATGCCTTTTCCAACCTGCAGCACAAGTCAGAGAAACACAGTAATTACAAAAATGTCATTCCCCAAAGAATTCAAAATTTAACAACCTGCCAATTAAAGAAATATATTTGGCTAATACACACTAACCACTGCAACTGTTCATATTAACAATACCCTACGGTACAGCCAAGTGCAAATATATCCAGAATTTCCATTAAAAAAGGAATTAACCTTGAAACTTCCAATCCTAATGTGTGCAAGGTGGGATAATCAAAGCCTTTTAGTTAAACTAACATTCTAATTAAATAATTCTGAAGCAACAGAAAGAAAAACTTGTCCAGAGAACATAATAAGTCAAGAGGTTTTTAGGGGGATGTTAATAAATTAAGAGGTTTGTAGGAAGATGTTCCTGTTGGTATTAGGAAGTTCATTACCACTGATGACAAACTATTGCCTATTGCAATGTCACAATGGAATTTGCAAAGCAAATTTGCTTTGCTGCATAGTGATATGCATTTGATTACTTGTTCCTCTTCTCCCTCCTTTCCTCTCACCTTTTGCAAACACTCATGAACCAGAAAACTTTAGCTATGAACATTTGTTGTTTAAAACCGATTCTGGCTATTCTCAGGAGCCAATAAAAACCCCTGCTGGGCAATGAATCCTGAAAAAAACACATAGGATCCAAAATAGCCTGAATGTCATTGTTCTGGTCTGTCTAAGATCACGAAAAAACCCTGCCAAGAGACTATTGAAATAATCTGTGCATGAAAGAGTTAAGGTATGCACCAATAGAGCCTGTGTCAAATAAAGAAAGCAAAATACAAATTTGGTTAATGACTGAAATAAAATCCACACAGCCAGATTGGAAAATGCATACTGGTTTCCATGCTCTAGATGAATGAAGATTTTAAGAGCTGAAACAAATAAATGTACTGGTTTCTGGATTGCAGCCAGGTCTCTTAGACAGAAATAATGCTTTTTAAACATCCAAGGATTAGTGTTTGAGTAAGCTGTTAATTGGTTGTTAGTTGACTTCAGGAAAAATAAAGAGGGCATATTAAAAAAAGGAAGAGCCATTTAAACCAGCCCTGAAAGCAGTGACATTTAACCATTAATTTGTATATCTGAGAAGAAGAATATTGGCACAATTCAGCCAAAATGATTTTAACATTTATTTCAGTGGGAAAGATAATTTTGTTCGTAGCATTTTCTTTTTCCTTGGGTTCCTCTCATCTGCTTTTCTTTAACTGCAATAAACTGAACTTGAAATGCTTAGTTTTAGTTGTGCCATATGCAGTGTGCTTAAACTGCAACTTATTTGCATATTGTTTTTATGGTCTATAGAGAAACAATGTACAACAATTGCTACAGTATCAGAAAAGGGATATTAGCTACTTTGTGAAGGCCCAGGATATATCGAAACGGAGCCCACCAGAGAGGGTCCAGCCACATCTTTGTGAGATTTCCTGCCAACAATCTGTGTCTGGAAAGGTGCTGCCCACCAAACCCCTTCTGAAATTTGACCTGGTAGGTTGTTTCCCCCACCTTCATTTCTACAGAACCTGCAAATTCTGGAGACCCAAACGAAACTGAGATTTCTTGCTGTTGAATGGAGAATAAATAGCCCTTTCTAATTCTTTTATCTCTACTTGTCTTATCACCTGCTGCAATCAAGAAAACCTTCAGCAGTTCCAGTCTTGATTTCTTTAGGCATTTCTTTACTAGTTGATTTCATTCTGAATGGCTACACTGATCAGAATTAATTCTAGTTCATCTGATCATTCCCAGTCAACCTCAGCATGTCTTCCTCCAGTGCCAATGTTACAATATTTGTGACATGCTGGCAAGTAGCTGTTTAAATTCTAGATTCCAAAACCAGGCCATTTTATGGCCCTTGTGTCAGAGGGGATTGGTTGGTTGGTTATTTAACTTTCTGTGAAAGAACTTTTTCTGTGCCTTTCTTACAATGTGAACCAATTCCACATAAAATTCAAGGAAGGGCAGTAGATGTTATTTTTCCACTTGGTTTTTCTTCACTTTTGCACTTGTATACTGCCCAGAGTCAGTTTTTATAAGATGGCAGTTATACCATTTTTTTTCTATTTTTATTTTATTTAAAAAAAAATACAAATACAAAACCTCAAAAAAATTCTTTCAAAACAAACAAATAAAAGTCACAAAACGAACAAAACATTTAAAAAGTGAATTCAAAAAAACCTAACACATGTACACATATTATCTCCCCTAGTTGAGTAGTTTAATATGTTATTGAATTATTATATAGTAATTATAGTAATAATTAATGTATTGATACTGTTTAATATATATTTCACAAAGGGTAGTTTTCCACCCCTTGTAAAACAGGCCCTCCAAAATTTTAAACTACTAAATCTATTTGCAGTCTATTAGCCTGATTTCTATGTGCTATATTAATGAGCAAATAATTAACAGGAAGAGCAATAATAATAAGAAAGGCAAGGGTAAAGTTTCAAAACCCTCTGTTAACAAACTGTTATTGTAATCAACTCATAGATGGTTTATCATGGCATATCTATTCCAAATCTCCCAAAAGATAACAGTGATTCATCCTGGATCAAATATTCACATTTGTTTCTTAACACCAGCTCTTATTAATTGTTCTCTGGTTAAATATAATAAATCCAACCTCCAAAAGTCTGCCTAGCTTCCCAAAAACATCCAGATGGAATTGTTTTGCAGATAAATGTGATAAATCCATTCCCCAATCTCCTTCAATGTTCTTAGGGAAAGCCAATTTATCACTTCTCCACTCAGTCAGGTTTCTGCTGTTGTAAAAGAATGCAGGCTTGAACTTCAGAGAGGCATGTGAATCTACTGCTTTCAGATCACATTCCTTTTGTTAGTCTAATTTATCTACAGCTAGATGAATATTTTCCACAACCATTATCATTTCAGCAAACTTGTTTAAAAAAGCTTTCAAATGAGTATTGCATATTACCAGCCTTTTGTCAAGTATCAGCCACATGTTTGTCTGTAACCTGACACATTGTTGTTCTGTGTAACTTGGCAACAATAAATAAAAAAACACAGGAATCCTCAGAATGAAAAAAAAATACTAAAAAAGTAGGAAAGATATTTTCCGGATATTTTGATCCAAATTTTTAAAAAGAATTCAAAACATAATCTCCAAACATTTTACAAATTAGTAAAATACAAAAAACACTGTAGTGAGAGTCCAATATAGAAATAAACCAAATGGAAACGCTTTCACTACCCCAGAACACGCCGTTTTCCTGACGAAAAAGCAAAAGTTATTCCAAACAACAACATAAATCAAAGGGAAAGAGAAAAAAAGAAAAGAAAATCCAGCAAGGGGTTAAAATAAATCATCATTCAACCAGCTGGTCAACTTTTATAGAAAGCAAAATAAAATAAAAACCTCAAAAAGTGAAGTTAAAACCCAGGCATGCTTAAGGAAATGAACAGCAGCTATACCAATTTGATTAATAAATGAAGAATAAAATAAATAAAAATAGGTGCACTTCTACACTACAGGTCATCTTGAACCCTGACCCTTACTTGAAAGTGACAATGCCAGGACAATGTCTTCCATCTTTGCTTCTTTCTCCAAGAAAAATCACATGACTATGCTTGTACATGTCATTATTAGGTCTTACAATGGTATTGCCAGTGTGGAAGAGTTGGCACTAGATCTGTAAAATGGGAGGGTCATTGTTCAAGATGAGCAGTAGTATAGAAGTGTACCATTCAAAGCAAAAAACCTTGCTTCTTCTGCGTTTGCACCAGCTACATGATCACAGAAAACATGTTTGAACTAAAGAGGCATTAAAGAAGCAGTGACAAGGTACACTGATACTGTCACACTCTATTGGTGCTTTCATAATTGAAACATAAACAAGCTGAAGCTTCTTTAAGGGAGTGCTGAAAGATGCAGTTAGCATGCCAATATCCTCTCCAAGGCATATTGTCACTTTGGGTCAGAAGAGCTGGATGTCACTAGTCTTTAAATAATTGATATTATATATGAGTAGTTTTAGCAGGGTTCCACAGATGAGAAATTGTGTTCAGCCTATGCTCTCAGCTGATTCATCCAGGAAACCAATGTGGTAGAGGCATCTGCAGGATTGTACACCGTCATCAAATGATGCAACCAAGTATCATATCATTGCATTGTAAGCTCTGCCTCTTTTGTACATATGTGACATCACAATGCATACACAATTCCTTTCGTCATTTATCCCTCTGCAGATACTTCTGCACCATGAGCCGGATATGCTTTTTAACCGAATTGGATGAATATTGTGGAAAATATATGTGTTAAAACACATATATAAATGTGTTGAAACACTTCTGAACAGAAGAAATGGCATCACAGGGCTTGACTGCAACTGATGAAATTTCTATTTTGGAAGGAATCTGAAAATGAGCTGTCATGTGTAGTTGGCCCTGTCTAGAACTACATATCTTAGGACAGCATCCAGTGTCCTAAGGTTTTGCCGGTTATATGTTTGGTTCCCAGATTGCAACTTTTTAATTTGTTCAGTTTAATTTGGTGAAAGCTATTCTTTTCTGAGCCTGAGCCAGCCTGCTTCCATCTGTTGTTGCTTGGTGTTATTGTTGCTCTTTTGCTAGGATGGTAGCCTAACCACTTCACATGTTCTGATTACAGCTCCATTGATTTGTTGAAAGCATTTGAGGGTACAGCCAGCCTCAAAAGCCCAGCATAATTTCTGAGGGTTACAATAACATTTGAAACATTGAACCAATCCCACACAACTACATTTCGTAAAAACTATTAAAAGTACATTGCTGGTTTTGTTTCACATAAATTCTAGCTTGAAGAAATCTATAAAACTTTATCTACCCATTTGGAGATCTTACATCTGAAAAAAAACTGGCATCGACTTGGCAAGCTTTCACATTCCTTCAAAAATCAGGACACAGTAGAATAACTTTTTGATGGAATCTGTCTAGTCAGACCACAAACCTAGATTTTTTGAAAGAAACATGAATTGTACATCTCCTGCTGTTTACAAACCTCCTGAATGTAGTGGTGTTAATTATGATACCACCTCATTATCTTCTGCAAGCACTAGGCTGGAACGGTATGATGCAGCTGGCAGCTTTTCTTCAGCAATTGCCACAGTCTCTGTACTAAAATTACTTTGATCTTGTTTTTGTTCATCCGCTTCCCTAGTATTGTCTGAGCCAGACTATAAAACTGCCATTTTGCTTAGAGGGAAACTAGAGAATTGATGGATTCTTGCAGAGGATTTTCCCTCTTCATAATTTATCTTTAGCATTATTAGTTGCCTGATTTGTATTTCTATTCATATTAAGGCAGTATGAGGTGTTTATGTGGGTACATATCAAGCTAACTTTTGCTTTTTGAGACAACATAGTCAGTACTAGATCCCGCTATCAATGAGCTTAATGTCCTTAATGATTATAGCAGTTTGACCGAATCACCACTGTCCATGCATCTTGGTAATAAGCAAACAAACAAACAAAACTGTAGGTCAGTTAATTATTTGATTATGTTACTTCACTTATCTGCAAGTTCTGGTTTAACTATACAGTACATTGTTAGTTGTTATTTAGGCCTGCAACTTAATATTATTCCAAATCATGTTTCTTCCATCTTAAGCCTGCTTTTGACTGGATCTAGCGAAATTCAGATTTAGAATTAAGAATAAGTTGCCACAAATATCTGCAAGCATGATCTACAATTTACTCTAGTTTTTTCCTCCTAATAATATAGTGGAGTCTGATGCCTGGAGCCTTAACCTACATCTGTACACTGAAGACACAGTAGAACATCAGCCATAAGACAGTTGATCAGGCCCTTGTCTTAAAAATAAGCCTTACTTAGATTACTGCAATTTGCGGTGCTTGGAGCTGCACACGAAGACCACCCAGAAGCTCCGGCTGGTCTTGTGCACAGAGGCATGCTTGCTTAGTGGTGATCCGTAACACAGTCGTATCACATCTCTACTGGAGGTGTTGCATTACCACTTTTGCATATAATTCAAGGTGCTGGTCACTATCTATAAGACTGCATATGCTTTGGTGCCTGGGAACATTTTAGGGACCACTTTCCTCATTAGTTTCTATTTGTCTTACCTAGAAACTAGGGAGAGCTAAGTGTCCCCAGATAAGAGAAGGCAGAGGTTCAGGGAGCCTGATGGCATCTCTCAAAGTCAGGAATAGCTTGCTTCTGAAACACAATCCACCCCATCCTCATGGTTTTCCAGACACACATGATCTCTTCTATGGAGAGTTTGAAAATTTATGTATACTATGACACAATTTTTGGTAATTTTAAATTTTACCTTTACTTGCTATTGTAATTCATTTTATTTTATTCTAATTTTGTATTCTGTTTTTACTATGTAAATTCTGTAAGCTGCTTAGAATCCGGATGGTTTCAGTCAAATAAAGTTCATAAACACAAGCAAATAAATAATACCCGATGAAGACTATAATATAGAATTCTTTTTTTTTATTATTATTATTATTTTTTATTATTTAAACCGACAAACAAAACAAAACAAAACATAATACACATATATACACAATATATATTTTAACATCAATATAGAATTCTTAAAAGCATGATTTTCCCCATTTATTATCTAATTTATCTACTGTCCATCTCACTCACAGATAATACCCACTGTCTTTCTGTTCCATCTCTGATATAGGTATAATTATAGATTTCAGTTGATTGAAGAATAAAGCCAACATATTTATTAATTTATTGGATTTATAAGACCTTTTATTTTGTAGAACTGAAGGTGCACATATAATGTTCCTTCCTCCTATTCTCCTTACAATATAAAAAAAATTGTGAGGTGGGTAAGAGAGAGCGAAAGCCCAGAGTGAGTTACCTAGTCAGCTTCCATGCCTAAGGGAGAACAAAGTTTATTTGATAAATTATAAATAAATGGTACAATGCTGTTATAATTTCATCCTCTGCAAGAATATTGATAAAAGGATTGAATAATATTGTTGTCGTGCCTCACAAACAAGCATCCATATAGGTAGAAGTCCAATTTTTACAATTGTATTCTGAGTTCAGATTGTTTTTTTGCCATTTTCAGAAACTGTGTACTTACTAAAAATGAACAAATTACAGTAAAGTAAAAAAAAATGAAGCCACCATTTCCTTCATGACAAAATATTCAGTATATATTTAAAATGTCTATTGTGCTCTGGAAACTACAAAAAGACAACCATGATTTATAACATAATAAATATTTTAGAAATATTTCTTCTCTATGTATCTGTGTCAGAAGACATGGCATAGAAATTAATATTTTTTTCTGTTATAAAAGTTAGTAATTTTAAATCTCCATTACAGATGCAATTTTAATAGCAGCCTTTTCTGCTATGAGTTTATTGCAGATTATAACTGTTCATTTAAGAAAACACTTCAATTAACCAAGCACCAACTATTCAAGTGTCCTATGGACAGAACGGCTGGATATAAATCAAAATAACAAAAATAGCAATGCATTTGATATTTGTATTCATTCTTGAGTCTAGATGTAAATATCACCAGTTTTATAATTCATAAAGCCAGACTTCTATTTAACTTTACATTTTATTTGAAGTTATGCTGTACCTCTGGCACTGACTTATTGTGCTTTATTGATAAAATGCTTATTGGTTCTTGCATCCTTTTGGGGAATATGAGAATTGATAAGAATTTGGATTTTATTTTCAAGACAGTTAATAGGAAAAGGGCCATGGTATAAGCTATGACAGGATAACATTTAGTAGGCTGCCTGGCAGAAAAGTGATATTAAATTGCTATAATTTGGAAATGTCCCAATGACAGATGTACACAATGATCTTCTTGTGTTTCTGCTCTTGGCACATTTATTAGGTACCTTGTCATGTTCTCCTTTTGAAATAAAGAACAGATTTATGTAGGCAAAGCATTTTAAAAGATTTGATAGATAGCTTTGAATATTAAAAAAGCCGTGCATTTTTGTTGCACTCTTTCTTACCTGCCCTGAATACTTTCCAAGAAATCCTTCCTGACTGTATTTTTTTCTTAATGTTTTTTTTTATTTACTAGAAATAGAAGTCATAGAAACTCATATAATGCAAATGTTTGTTTCGACTAAAGCATGTTATGAGGGATGGGCAGGATGATGAATAATAATAGAAACATTAGATGCTAAATCAAAAAGAGCTCCAGTTTTTGGCTGAATTATCACAAACTATAACTACACAATTGTGAAGAATTGTTTAGTAACATTCTTTATAATACCTTTCATAATAAACAACGTTTCGGTATTTTATCATTGACATGGATCAAATCTATAAAAGAAATGTTTATATAAATCAATGAACTGCAACAATTCTGTGATTTTGTTCCCACATTGTAGGAATCTTGCAAGCCAAGTCCTCCTCAGAAGCCTTTGCCAGCTAATCCTCAGAAGAACAAAGTTATTCAGATTAATACTGCTTCTCGGACAATGTTTGAGCTTCCAAAACCTATGCCTCAAATTGCTCCTGTCAGGTTAGTTTGGTTGTCTCTTAGTACGTTTCACACTAAACTCTTAATGGAAACTATCCAAATAAGGTTTTATGAGCACCATGATGCACAAAGTTGTTTAATTTTGCAATAAATATATCACAGGAGAATCAACTTCAGCATAAATCGAGCCATCACAGACTGGCAGTACACAATGAAAAAAGTTCCTTTTCTCTGCCCTGAATCTTGACTATTTAGTTTTAGCAGGTTCTAATGCTGTAGAAAATCACTTCTTGTCTCATCCCACCAAATCATAATTTTAAGACTTTTAACATGTAGGCTAAAGAGATAAAAGTGTCCCAGCTCTTCAGTGATCTAGAGATGGCAATGATCAGAATAAAATGATATTCCAATATTATGATCACATTTATATATCTCTCTCTGTGTGTGTATATATACACATACATATATAATTTAAAATAAAATATAATTGAAAGACATTCGAAATGAAAGACATCACACCCAATGTTCTATGCAAGAGCTCTTTTAAGCTATTCCTGTAATAGGCAGGGAGGAAACCAATCTAATTTCAATTATTCCAAAGGGCAAACATTGCCACCAAGAAAGAACACCTGCTATATAACTACTACCTTGACCTCCCCAAGTGGGAAAACCACAAGCTACTTCTCCCAGAAAGGTCATTTTGGTCAGGGTGATTCTAGCTGAAGATTGTGAAGATAACTTGGTACCAAGCTCAGGGCTTTATAGGTTAAAAGCAACAGTTTAAATTGCATTCAGAAGCTTATTGGTAATTAGTGCAAGCACTGCACTAATAATATGCTCCCTGCCAGATATTAGGGAACCAATGTGCCACAGCATTCTGGACCATTTACAGCTTCTGGGCCATTTTTAAGGCAACCCCATCTAGAACCTATTGAAATAATTCAAATGGGTGGCCATAAGGCCATGAGCTGCTGTTGCAGCAAAGTCTCTTATCCTGGGTTCAGCTGTACGCACATATACATATATAATACACACACACATCTGCAGCCTTCTGAAATTAAATTTGATGGTGCAGATAGATGGGCTTCAAAAGTGGTCCAGAATATCTTTTTGACCTGAAACTACAGCATGCCCATCCCTATAAGTAGCAATTATTTATTTAATAAGTAAGTAAATATTTTCATAGTAATTCCTAATATTTATTAATTTATTTTGTCTTTTTGTCCCTTAACCCTCTTTTGTTGAACAGGCCTGCACCAAAACCTCCACTTCAAGTGCCTAGGCACGGCAATGCTGCCTATATGAAATGAAAAAACCGAACACCATTTTTATTCTGAAAAAATAGAAGTTTGCACTATTTTTCAGCTGGAAATTAATATTTTTATATCAACCAATAGAATTGTTAATGTTCTGTATCCCATTGTTTTAAGAACTCTGAGCTACTGCCTTTGGTGCTATACTGTGTAAAGGTGGTCTGCGTCCTTGCTCAGGTACTTATAAATTATTAATTTATACTGATATTTATTACAGTGCAGAGCACTGTAGTAAATATTATTTCATCATAATCAGGTTTTCCTAGGATGGAAGCCATTTTTATGATGTTTAAGCAGTCTTGAACCATCTTTCATTTTAAATTCCACAGCAGGCTATATAATACTGTACCTCTCTGTGTTTGTTGATCAGTTTAGATCTGTTATTTGCAGGATGCTGACCAGAACTGAAATAAAATTGCTGAGATCAAGGGCCCAATGAAAGTTCAAATTTTTTTATTGTTTGCCAAAATCTGTAGGCAAAATATAATTTGGGGGGTATAATTTAAAGGAAAGTGAAGTAAACAACTGCCAGTGCTGTTCCTATTGCTATTCCGTTAGAAAGATGGAAAAATACTATTTGCAAAAATCAAGGAGTACTGTGAGATTTTCTCATAATTTGAAAGCAAATTCACTGTGATTATGCAAGTACCAAATGGAAGTTCAATCTACCTCTAGTGAACTGTGCATATGGAACATAACCGTTTTTGAAGAAAATAATACAAAATGTGATTTGTGCAAAACTCATCTCCATCACCATGATACAGATGTACGTTAAATATACACTGAATTATCTCTTGAGGCTTAAATACGTATCCCAAGATCAGCAGTTTTATCCAGTACCCAGAATCCATTTTCAATTGTACCAGAGTCTCAAGTATATTTCTTATAAATATTTATTTCAGTTCTATAACATTAGTTCTCTGTTCCAGAATTAGAATGGGTTAGAGAAATCTTCAGATAAATTGTACTAACACAAGTTATTTCTTTTTTGTAATACACAGAAATATAGTTAGCCACAATGGTATATCCTAACTCACTGTACTGTAATGTTAAATGCCTGTTTTCCAAGACAGTGTACAGATTTTCAAATAGCTTTTAAAGTACTGTATATTGAATACCAGTTTAATTAGAAATGGTATGTAATTTCTATCATAATGCATTTTCAAACTTTTCAATCTTCTCAGTGTTTATGTATGTATTTGTATGTATGCGAGCATACGTATATACACATCTGCATGCACACAACAATGCACACGAGGCTCACACTTGGATGATTAGTTTCCACCAATACGGCACAAGGTGCTTGACTTTTTCTTACTCTGTGGTGCAACAGACCATATAGCCACAAAACGTATAGGTAGCTTTATAGTTCTGTAATACTCACCCAGTTCAGATGCTTACCTTCCGTTTATACGATGGTTTCATGTACAGAATAGCAAGTATCTCAGCATGGGATAGGAGTTTTTACTTTTTAAAAACATATTACTATAGAAGTCATATTTCAAAAAATATTTCTTACGAACAGCTGTGCACAGTAACAAAAATGCATTGTTTAGACTTACGTACTAAAAGAAAAAATCAACACAATAAAATATTTTGCGAAAACCCATAACAATGTCTTGAGAGTACAGTATTTAGCACTTACAAAAACTAGATTCATATAGAGGTACTGCTTTGAGTTAAGCTACTATATTTCGGCTGAAAAATAGCAGATAGCTTAGATGGCAACAAGGAGACAGACAACTCATTCTGTTGTTGTTGCAGCTCTCTGGTAATAATCCAAGTTTCTGCAGCCCAGATTTAGTAGCCAAGTACTGAGTGGCGATGACACTGATGGTTAAGACCAAAGTTAATATCTTCATTCATCCAGTCATTTGTCTTTCTCATAGACCCTCTGTTATTTTCACTCTGTCAGTGACTCTGTCATACCATCACTTTTAACTCTTCATCTCCTTATGTCCACTTATTTTATAAAAATAATTTAATTAGTTCTTATACTGGGCTGTTGCACGCCAAGAAATTTGAAGAATTCAACACTTAAAAAACATTTTCATATTTACCGCTTATGCTGAATGTTCTGTTCATTGGTTTAATGCATGATGACTAAAGATGTAGCTCTGAAATTAGCTATAATAGAAAAGGTAAAGGTTTCCCCTGTCCAGTCGTGTCTGATTCTAGGGGACAGTGGTCATCTCCATTTCTTAGATGAGAGAGCCTTCATTACCTGAAGACAGCTCGGATCATCTCCAATCATAAAGGACCACAATTAAGAGGATAGAATTCTAGTGCTTTTTATGAAAATGGCAAATTTTGAGTTCATCTATCCCAGTACTATCTACACTGATCACTTAGATTTCTGAGAGAGGAGTAAGATCATTTCCAATTTGTCTACCTAAAATTGAACTTCCCATGCCTCTATGTAAATGGGGGCTTTTTCATCTGCTGTCTGTTTATGGTCAGAAAGTCTCTACCATTGATTTTTCTCCCCTGCTAACTAGCAGGGGAGAAAATCAAGGCTTATTTCATTAGCAGCATGGATGTACTGACCTACCATCTAAAGGATATTGTTAAAATTATTTTAGTCCAAACAGCAGCTGGAAAGCATAAGATAAATGTATTTGTCCTTGGTTTAGCAATTTTATAAAAAAATAACTGTATTTTTTATTGACAGAGCTACATTTATTTTTTCCTTTCTCTTAAAAATACATAACCAATTGAATCCCTATATTTTACATCTTTCTATTATTATAAATTGACCGATAATATTATCTGTTAATACATAAAATTGCTTCTAGTTTCCAGACTTTTGGTCATTCCAGTTATATATGCAACATGCTCTTTTCCAAAGTCACTAATCTTTGCTTTCTAATAGAGAGAGCCAGCACCTAATGATCTTTATTTCTTTTTGATACATAATTTAACTTTTCCAATTATTATGCTCTGTATCTAGGCAACAACAGCAGTGATGCCTATGAAGAAACCAGGTAAAAACATCCATATCTCAAAATAAAGCAAAATGGAATTATCTAGGAAACAATTTGGTTCATAAATCTTGCATATGTTACTGTGTAATTATTGACATTTTAATTTATAAGGCATTTTGGAAAATATTAATGCAATATTTATGCTAAGTAGGAAGAGTTATTGATGATTGTAAAATTCAGTTTTTTAAAATGAGATTTGCCAAGTGCTATTAGGATTCTTTACATTTCATGCCTCTTGAATAGTTTTAGGTTTTCTGAGGGCTTTGACCCTCCATTCTCCATGAAAATTAATTCTATTTGACTGTCACTCAAAATAAATTCGTAATTGCTTATTAAAAAGATGACATTTATTTCATCTAGCAAGAATCCCAGGAAGAGATTGCTTATAAAAATATTGAACTATGTAAGACTTTTTCTTTCTTTGGTAGTAACATTAATTTCCCATCATTCTTTCCTTTCTATTTATAAAAAAAGTGTAAGCAAAACTATTTAAGAGATATAACCTTCAGTTAAAAGACACTATGCATTCTTAGTGCCCCAATCTAACAGGCATTGTTGGGTACTACTGCATGAGAAATAAGATCAGTCTGTGTAGATGACAGTTAATATTAGACTTCAGAACATGTGCAATGTGCATAATGTATGTTAGGCAGAGGTCAAATATATATCACAACCGAAATCAGCAGATGATCAAGTCAATTTGATCTTATCTAACATTGTATAAGTGAGAAGAAACATGGTTTTATGTGTCTGTTACTAAGTCCATTATTCCCTGTCACAAAAGGATTCAATAAAAGTGTCAGTAAACTTAAGAGAATTTTTTCTTAATTACAACAAAGCATATCAATCATCTTAATTTTATAACTAGAGCTGTAACATTAGTATTTCCTGAAACCAGGCCTTCCAAGGTAAAACCCTCCTTAGTTTCCCAATAGGATATTTGTAGACCTCATCTGACGAAAGCAGGTGCCTAGACCAACCTGTGATGTTTTCAATGGATGGCAGCAGAGCTTCTCACCATCATGGCTTTGTTGGTGTGCACATGGGGCATCTTAGGATGTGCAGGATATTAAGCCGTCGTATTCTTTCCAAACAATTGGGAACTCCTACAGCTTAAGAGCAAATCTCATGTCATTGGAAGCTATGCTTTGGGGGGGGGGAAGGGGATGGGTGGTTTGATAATCTCCATACCTGGAGGGTACGGCTTTAAAAAGAGGCAGTTCTCCAGCCCTCATGTTTCCAAAAGATGATTCGATCATGATGCTGGACTTGTTTTCTGATGAACAGGGAGAAAAAGAGCTAGGGGCATCTAGGAATAACAGCCCTGGTGGGACTGATTCCAGCACTGTTGTAGCCAATTACTCCCACTTCATTCTGGCTGAGGCAGATCCAGTAAGAATCCCTGCCTGCACCCTCTATCTGCCTCTCAGATTCACCTAGTACTGAGTTGTATTTTAAAAATACAACTGACTGGCCAAAAAGCAGAAAATTAGACTCTAAGAAGTAAAGAACAAGCTGTTCATTTGGATAAAGCATGAGCACAGCTGATTTTTTTAGATCTCTGTCATTATCTCCTTAGTGCAAACATTTTCCTGGGACCGCATAGCTACTGTGTGAATACAGAAAAAGCTAGGACATCTTTAAGATGTTGGCAGGTGCAACAAGCACCCTCAAACTCTCTCTGAACCACATTTTCTACTTTAGATACAAATAATTTTACATTCCCATAAATAGCTGAGAATTGGTGGGATAACTACATTTAATATAAAAAGAAAAAAAGTAATAGACACAGAATACCATGTCCTGTTCTGGATACTACAGTTCCAAAAAAAGCCAATAGCAAATTGGAATGAGTTCAAAAGAGAGTTATAAAGATGTTGAAGACTGTGGAAACAAGCCCAATATACAACAGTTGAAAGTTCTGAGAAAGATTGACGAGAGATACACTACCATTCTTCGGACATTTAAAAGGAGGGATTTATTTTCTACTCTGCCAAAGCATAGGACTGGAAT